GAAGGCTGCTTTACTAGGTGCTGCTTACCATTCACGATGCTGGGGAGCAGGCAGTCAAAGAGGGGCTGCAGCCGCTGGTGCCCACTGGTTATGATCTTGTGAAAGACCTACAGCAAGGAAAGACTTAAGCAATGGAAAAACCCAGCACAGCTGCACTACTGAAACAACTATCCACATGAATACCAGTCCCACCCTTACACTAATAGCTTTCTGACAACATTCATTCCTAGGCTGGGCCCCTGCACTATGCAATTACACAGGCATGGAATGCAGCCTTGCCATGGACTAGTACGCCAGGAGTCTAAGACTTCATTTATACAGGATCCTTTCCAGCCCTTATGGGTAAGGCCCCATTAAAAACCAATATTGGGCACAAGCTGATGCACTGCCATCTTCCTGATGACTGCAGACAACCTGAAATAAGAGGGATTGAACTGAATAAGGCAGGTGACACAAGGTGTTAACTCTGAAACCTAGTGATGGTCATTTAAATAATAATATGCGGTAACAATTTCAGTGCCAATTTTAGCAGCAACCTCTGCTAAGGCACTTACTCCACACTCTCAAACTGACGTCGATGATACCCCAGGTGCCAAAAGCCCCAACTGCCCCCTAATCAGCTGAAACTTTTGCCCTCTTCTCCCTCCATTACAGTAATACATTGTCAACATAAGAGTCTGCGGCCCGCTGACAATTTAGGTGCAATATAAACTATATTACATTTAATATACAATAAATTGCAGAGGGGACACGTTACTGACTAGACTATTCGTTTACAATTAGTACATGGTTCCATTTTCTAATTCTATCCGAAGCTGCTGCCCAAGCTCCACCCTGCTGTACTACAACACAACAGAAACCATGGAGCATGCAGCAGTTTCAGCCCCAGCTGCCAGAGGACATTGGGCTTTGGTTATGGGCATTTCTGCAGTGCTCAGCACCACGGTACTCCAGCTGCTTGTATATATCAATGAGTGACTTTAACCTCATAACAGCCCTCTAAGGTGGGGGAGGGGAGGTAAGTATTATTGTTCCCATTTTCATAGCTGGGGAAACTGAGGCACGGAGCAGCGAAATGACTTTCTCAGATCATTTTTAAACACAAAACCATCCTTCTGTCGCCTAAGGATCAGTTCTGCCCCAGTGGAAGTAACCCCACAACTCCCCGCCCCTCCTTTGGGATACCTGTCCATCTCCTCACCAGTTCCCTGTTCTTTGGAATAATCATCCTCTAGCAAAACCATTCCTCTCATGCTCCTTGCAAGAGCATCTCCCTTAGTAAGATGCAAGGACCCCATTAATGCTCAGAAACTCCAAAAAACAGCACTAAGGTCTTTTTGGCTCCTCAATGGTTGACAGCCTTGGGCAGTGGTCCCCAAACATTTTACCTCATGTCCCTAATTACTCCCCCGTGAGCTGGGGGAGAGGGGAAACACAGACAGGGTAAGGAGGCTGAGGCTGGCGCCATAACTAGGGTGAGAATGGAAGTGGAGCCTTAGTCTAGTGCCAAGGCCAGGAACAGAGCTCCGTGCACGGAGCCAGCAGCCAGAGCCAGGTGTAGAGTTTCCCTCCCTGCTCCTCATGGGGGCTGGCCCAAGCCCCAGTCGTGTTCCAATGGGCTTCCCCAGAGTTTGGGGACCTCTGGCCTACGGTGTGCCAGCATTTGAGTGTAAAGGCAGAAAAGGGAGCAGCGAAGTGTAGCTGGATGAAGCAGGGGCTGGCAGGGGAAAGAAGCCAGCTAGAGCCATACTCACTATGATGAGAAGGTCTGCGTGCGTCCCTGTGAAGACAGGGATGTCCATGGGCACACGCACAGAGTAAGGCTTGTTCAGGCGGACACCGAAGTTTCGCTCCCCGCTGAGCAGCAGTAGGATGAAGACGCCGATGTGCATCAGTCCCACTCGAGCTGCCAAATGAAGCACAATACTGAAGCCGGTTGGCCAATGAAGGAGGAAGGGCAAAGAGGAGAGAAAAGCTACAGAGTGGGACTAACGGAGAAGACAGAACATAACTAAACTGCCCACACATGGGCTCTGTATGGGAGAACCCTATCTCCATCTTCAGCAGCAGGACAGGAGGGCAAGGAGACATGCTACTGTCAGAAACTCCTGCTGCATCCAGGAAGGAGCTGGAAGAGGAAGGTAACGCATGTCTTCTGCTTCCAGCACTGTGGGCTCCAGAATATTCCTGAAGTCAACCCCACTGTAGGGAAGGATTTTCTTGGACTCATTTTTAACCCATGAAAGTCCTTTGTGAGGCCTCAAGTCTCTAAATTGGAGACACCTACTCTTGTCCTCAGGGGTGACAGCTAAGGAGGGACATGGAGGGGGTGGGAGATGCTACTGCTGAGGAGGGACACGGAGGAGGTGGGAGACACACGGGAGGGGATACCAGGCATGTGAATGCCCTCCACATGACTTCTTCCCCCGCCACCCCTAGCCCAGGGGAGGGCTGGGACAACTCTCCGCCTCATCCCCTACTCTCCAAGTCCCCTCCCCCGAGTGACACGGCCCAGGGGACCATCAGGGGACTGGCACTGGCAGCAGGAGTCAGGCCCCCTGCACTCACCGGTAGCAGAGAGGGAAAGCAGAGCAGTGTGGCCCCAGCCCTCTCTACTCCCCCAGCTCCTGGCTGTCTCCCCTCACTTCCTCCTGATGGGTGGTCCTGCCTCTTCCCTCAAGTGATGCAGCAAGGAGCCGGGGGAGCACAGTTGGGTAGGGTTATGTCACTCCTCTTCACCTGCTGGCTCTGGACCCTTCCCCTTCCTATCCATGGTGTAGGGGGGCACATCCCCCCTCCTGCCACTCTCACATGTTGCCTCTGCTTGTCCTCCACTCACTTACACCAAGCTACCTGGAGTAATTTCAGTGGAGTAAGTCCTGATTTAGTGGTGCGTGAGAGCAGACGTGGGGCCCACTGTCTCTCCCCACACACACTGGATCAGGGACACCCTTCGAGAGAGTTGACGTTGCAGCCCAAGGCTTTGGAGCAGCAGATACGGAACTTACACTGGTCTGCTCTGGCATCGTTGAGAAAGTAGAGGATCGGAACCAGGATGTCAAGGACATCGCTGCTCTTCAGCACAAAGAAGAGGAATTTCTGAAAGAGAGGGAAGGACGTAAGATGATCTCAGACAGGTTGGGTCTTTCTCCAGCACTGGGCATCAGCCCTGACAAGTCAGTCAAAGGTGCGTTCAAATCCTAGAAGAGGCACACCCCGACCGGCATTTTCCAGAAGCGGCTGTTAGCTTGGGGTGCCTGACTTGAGTTAGCTAGAGCCTGGTTTTCAGAGGGGCTGAGAATCTGTAGCTCCCTTTGGGAGGCTCAATGTCCCTGAAGCTGAGCACCCAAAACCTGAAGCCTCAGTGGCTGCTTTTTAAAACGTGGCTATGAATGTTTAGTTGCTGATCCCAACCACCAGGTAATGAGAAGAGACAAAACGATAGACAAGATGAGAAAAAAAGGCAAGATAATAAACAGGGCAGCGTCTCTGCTGGGCCTAACCATCCAGGCCTGCATGTGCCCTGCTTCTAGGGATGCAATTCAGCCTTTCCATCTTGTACAGATTTAATCCTTTTACTTTTAAATCCTGCTGGCATTTGGGTTTGACCCTGATCCTTGGCCAGAGGAGTCAGAGCCCATCTGTCAAGTGATCACCCTTAACCCCTCAGAGGGACCAGCACAGCCAGAACATCAACAAGTCCATGTTTGCCTCCTCAGGGACCACTGCAGCCAGAGCTCCATGGTTTATATGGCCACCAGTAATGGCTGGGCAGCAGCCAATGCCAAGAGAGGTCACACGTCATGTAATCTCCCCTAGCCACTCTCCAGAAGCCAGCACTGCCTTAACTCCTTGTGTCACAGGATCACCTCTCAGCAGGGGCCAGCCCAACCAATGCTGTGTATCCCAGGATTACCCCCTAAATGCCTGAAATTCCACTTGTCTAAAAAGACCCATCTTTGGGCACAACCTGAGAACTCCCCAGACAGCCTCTGAATTACAAGGTCCCCAGGCTCCTGTCCCATTCCTATCCCTAGTACCAACACCAACTCTTGCCATCTGGCTCCTTCCTCATGCCGGGCTAGCTCATCTGCACCTTATTGAAGTCGCAGAGTTTCCAGAAGAGAACAAGGAGCTCCTGATGGAACTGGATCTTCTTGGCTGAGTTTGGCAGGTAGGTCTGGACCAGTGGGTTCGAAAGCAGACGTGCCACTCCTTTGAGGATGAACTGGAAGTCCTGGGACACACAACCGAGAGGGTAAAGAAACACGAGCATGTGGTGGCCCAGGTTAGCATAAGAAATCAATCAGGAAGGGTTTTAATGAAGGAACACCTTACCTCCTCTCGGTGTATCCTAGACAAATAATTCACAAACAGGTTTTCTGGCCCTGGAGGCTGCATTAAAAGACAATGTAAGAACCCCGTTTTAGTAACAGAACTTCCTTGAGAAGCCAAGTCTTAGGACACAGCGAGGGGATGCTCACCATCGCCACCAGCCAAACCACCCCCGTTAACTGGAGCCATGGGCTAGTGACAATTGCATCAGCTCTCTGACAGTCGGCTTCTCTGAGTGGCCCAAATGCTCCCATTTCTAAATGCCAGGGGACTGAATGGCTTAAGGGATTGGGAATGGAATAAGGGCCTTTAAACTACAAGCCACTGTGACCAAAGTCACTACCACCTGATGGCTCTTCAGCTGCTCATGAGAAGTAGGTTAGACTGTGCCAGACTGGGCCCTAGTAGACACATTGTCCATGGCATAAAATCCACCTCAATTAGCCTCTGAGAGAAGCAGAAAGGCCAAATGGGACTATGAGGAGTGAACTTTGCTGTAGCCTTAAAGAGGGCCACTTCAGGTCAGCATGGGAGACCTGTGCTGCTACTGCCTGTGCTGTTTATAAAGAGAGAACTGCTGCCTTCAGGGACTTGAGGATATTGGCATCATTCACCAGCATGACCCATCCACACACTGTAGGAAGAGTGCCCTAGCCGGGACAAGACACAAGCATGAGTCTAGAGAAGCCCTTGGTAGATAGGAGGCAGCAGCAGAAAGACCCAGCTGCAAAGACATTAAAGAGATGGGGGGGTGCAGTGCAAGGTGAAAGAGGAACCTGGTGTAACTTACATCCACATCATCCATGGCAGTGCTGGTAGTGGTGCCATCCACTGTAGGGCTTGAGCTGGTGGAGGTGTCATAGTCCAAAGTGACTATTAGCACCTGGGCTGCCTCCTCCACGAGTGGTTCCCGGTAGTCGGAGAAGAGCAGGTGGTTGTAGGGGATCCCGTAGCCCACTGGGTCATAGGCACAGACGATATTCAGGAGCGAGGTGAAGAGCGGCAGGGCATGCCTGCAAGAGAATGCCAGAGATTTAGACTCTGTCTACACTACACATTTCTGCAGTGTAACTTACCAGCCACACCCCTGAGCAACATATGTTGCACTGACCCCAGTGCAGGTGTGGGCAGCCCTGTGTCAGCAGGAGACCCTCTCCATTGCATTCAGGACATGGGGACTTTCTGGCTCAGAGCTCTGGCAATGGGCTATTGAGCCTTTCACCTCTACAGCAAGATATTGGTTCAAATCCAGCTCAAATCCACCACAAATAAAAAGGTGTTACTGGTGAAGTGAGTTTGGGGGTCTCAGTCTAGTTCCCAGAGACAAGTGTCTACGTCACAAAAATCAGCCCTCATTTGACAACTGGATTGTCAGTTTCAGCAGACGCGGAGGACTGAATGTGCTATGGAAACCAATCTCCAGTCTGGTTCGTAAATGGCTGCCCAGGTCAGGACTATGGTGTTGTTTGGTGGACATTTGCTGTGCTCTTGTCTAAGGGAATGGGGGGCACGTGTTCTATGGCCAAGTAAAGGCCTTCAGCCTCCTGCGCTGTCAATGAAGCACCCTTCTCCAATTAAAGCAACACACAAAAAGCATAAGAAAGATGGCAGGACCCTTGAAGCACTCCAGACACAGGGATGCAGCTGTCCTCCTCCAGCTTGTGAAATGTAGCCTCAAAAGAAACAGCCAATGCAGAACAGCCAATGGAAGAACAAGGAGCAATGGTCTCAAGTTACAGTGGGGAAGGTCTGGGTTGGATATTAGGAAAAACTATTTCACTAGGAGGGTGGTGAAGCACTGGGATGGGTTACCTAGGAAGGTGATGGAATCTCCATCCCTAGAGGTTTTTAAGGCTGGACTTGACAAAGCCCTGGCTGGGATGATTTAGTTAGGGTTGGTCCTGCTTTGGGCAGGAGGCTGGACTTGATGACCTCCTGAGGTCTCTGCCAGCCTTAGATTCTATGAACACTCATTTTGCAGCTTGAAAGTCATGCAAGAGATGCGCCAGTAGGGGGCAGCATTCCCCTACAGCCAAATACAGTGCACCAGGTACTGTAACAAGGGTGCCCACTTTAAGGAGGAGGGGAGCAAAGGCAGGAAATAACAGCCATTGGAGAACAGGCTAGAGAACCAAGGATTCTGGAATACTACACCCTCAGCTCTGCAACCGACTTTTTCCAGGGTCGGAGGCAAGGCACAGCACCTCTCTGTGCCTCAGTTTCTCCATTGTAACACAGGGATCATATTGACCTGTCCCACAGGGTGCTGGGCAGCCATCATTTGCAAAGTAGATGAAGTGGGCCAACTACAGATCAGGAGGGAGAGGGCTGAGTCACATGATGTGCCATAAAAACAGCCACCATCTGTCTAGCCTGGGGGAGGAAATTCTAAACCTCCTCAGCTGCATAAACTATCCTGTGTACTGGGGAGAAGAGCTGGGAGCAGAACTCACCTATGTCCCCCACCCCAAAGCATCTGCCACCTGCCCTCACTCCCTCTCACCTGTTCTCTGTGGAGCAAAAGAACTGCACCCAGGGGTTGGCATTGCTGCTGTCCGAGGAGGGGGGGAGATACATGGCCTCCGAGAAACATGTCAGCAGGAGTTTCAGCAGCTCTGTCCTGAAAGACAAAAAGCAGGAGGAGGAGTCCTGGAGTCCTTTGCGTAGAGAGTCCTCAGTTGCATCTATTTTCAAGCCAGCTGGAAACACCCTTTTAAGACCCCAGACACACAGCCATAGTTCTCACCAGCAACGGACACTTAAGGAAATCCCATCTTCAGCAACACAGACTGCTCCTCAGTGGATCTGTGGTGAATTGGGCCATCCATCTGCTGACACACTGGAATCCCCGTAACCACCTCCACTGCACAGAACAGAAGCTCTCCATGCAGGCCAGCAAACGCCCCTCACCAACTTTAGACCACTCAGCAGCCCCTCCCTGCAAAGGTCTCATGCTCCTGTCTGCAAAGGCTGAAAGTGGCTCCCTGCAGGGCCTAACAAAGCCGAGCCGTGCTACCCAGGGTGTGGGAAGTAGGGGGCTGAATGGGAAACCAGTGTGATACAATACGATCCTCTGCTGCCTCCCCCAGAACAAGGAAGCAGATGCATTACCTGTGTCAATCTCAACACCTTCTGCAATGGGGTATTTGGAGAGTCACTGATACTATAGAGGTCCGAGAACAAGACATGGGGGCTCCAGCTCCACATCCCCCAGCAGGGATGGGGTTTTGGGCAAAGGGGTTGGGACCTGGGTCAGCCAGCCCTCAGCGCTGCCCATACACAGGGCACACCATCCCCTCGCCCAGCCTTCAGAGCTGTGCGGAGCAGCACTTTGATGGTGCTTCAAAGGGGTCCAGGCCTCTAGGCCCCTTTGAATCACCAGGACCCAGGACAACTGCCCCTTCCCCCCACATATGCTCCTCCCCCATTGGAAGGCCTGGGAAGACAAATGTACAAAAAGTCTAGAGCCTGGCAAACTGAGGCCTGGTGGGACAACTGCTCCCCAGCCCCTAACAAATGACAACCCCGGACTAGGGATGTTAAATTTCAAGTAACTGACTAATCGAATAGTCAATGCAATTATCATTGACTATTTGATTAGTCGATGGGGCACTTCCATCTTTGAAGTGTAGCAACAGCCTTAGGACTGTTGCCACACTTCAAAGGCGAAAGTGCTGTGAGGAGCATGGGTCCAATGGGGCAGTCCCCCGCTGGCCCCATGCTTCCCCTGGCGTTTCAAAGCAGCAGCACCGCATGGAGCCCGAGGTCAGCAGGGGAGTCCCCAGCTGATCCCGGGCTCCACTGGATGCTGCTGCTTTGAAATGCAGCGTGCAGTGTGGGAACACCCAGCTGACCCCAGGCTGCACGTGTTGTTTCAAAGCGGCAGCGCTGCGTGGAGCCCAGGGTCTACCCCCAGGCTCCATGCGGCACTGCCACTTTGAAGCACCCCCTTCACTTCCCCCCTTTGCTGCCTCTTTCTGACAGAGGCAGCAAGGGTGGAGAAGCGACTAGTCGACCCGACTATCCGATAAGCATTTGCTTATTGGACACTCGACTAGTTATTCACATCCCTACCCTGAACACCTAGGGAAGTGAATAAGCAAATCCTAGCTCCAAGAAAATCTCCTTGAGGGCTCTGGACCACCTGAGCCCCACTGCGCACAGCCTTAGTGCATCGCCCTGCACCTCTCGACTGTCTTACCGGTTTAAATCATGGTTGTAGTTGGGCTGGGGGGAGTGAGCAAAGCCAACCCCAGCCTCCCAAATGTATTCACAGCTGTCAATAGAGTGGATGTCCTCTGCCGAGTCCTGTGGAGAGGAGAGAGGTCAGAGCTTTGGCATGCAGAGGCTTGAGTTAACAGCCCGCTAGGCAATGCTGTACGATGCCTGCACTGGGGAAGCCAAGGTGCTAACAAGTCAAAACATACTTTACTCTTAATTGTTGGAAGTATTATCCCCTTCTCTCCCCAATACCCTCTTGCCCTTCTCCCCCAAAAAACCCAGCGCACAATGCAGTCCAGCCCCCGTGGGGTAGGGAGCGTCTTTTCATTATGGCTACATCGAGACTACTAGCCTTTGTTGAAAGAATCTTTTGAAAAAGCCTCTTTCGAAAGACAGCGTCTAGACTGCAACTACTTCTTTCAAAAAAGCGGCTCACTTTTTCGAAAGAGAGCACCCAGGGAGTCTGGATGCTCTCTTTCAAAAAAGCCCTATTTGCATTCAAGAATGCCTTTTTTCAAAAGATAACTTTAAAAAAAAAGGCGTTCTTCCTCATAAAATGAGGTTTACCGCTGTCGAAAAAATTGCCGCGTTCTTTCGATTTAGACGCAGGTGACGTTTTTTGAAAAAAGGTCATTTTTTTCTTAAAAAACCCTGTAGTCTAGACACACCCTATGTGTATGTACAGCGCCTAGCACAACGGGTCCCTGCTTGGATCTTATAGGTCCTACCTCAATACAAATGACATCACAGTTATCCAAGCAACTTCTTCCCATCACTCCGCGGACAGCTCCGAGCACTGTTCACAGCATGGATCTAGAACTCCTACCCTCCCACCCAACCCACACACATTTGCACTCCAAGCCCTCTGGCAGCCGAGACCTGTGTTTCTTTACTGAGTCAGTTGCCTGTTCAGAACTGGACCCCCCTCACAGACACTTTGTGGAGACAAAACAGCCATTGAAAGCAGCATGTTTATTTCTCTGGAGCAGCCGGAGTAAAAGGACCCAGATGAATGCATTTACATGAAGTGCTTTTGGCACATATAAGCTGTCCCTTTCAGCGCTTTAATTAAGTATATTCTCTGTGCTGCCTCTTTCCTGGTGCAATCAGAAGGAGTTCACAGGACAACTCTTGCTAATTACCCTGGATTCCCATAAGAACAGCCATACTAAGTCAGATCAAAGATCCATCTAGCCCTGTATCCTGCCTTCTGGCAGTGGCCAATGCCAGGTACCCCAAAGGAAATGAACGGAACAAACAATCACAAAGTGTTCCATTACACAACATTCTCTCTCACTCACCCAGGACTGCTCTTAGTACAGCATAATTATTTACCGTGCAAATAAATGATGGTCACATAAACACCACTCTACACTGGAAACCTACAACCGCTATACTTGCCTACACGCCTCCAGGTTTTATCCATAACATCACACAATCTACTGTCTACAGACGAGCTTAAAACTAGAATGTAAAATCCCAGTTCATCAGTTAAATGGTTTACTGATGAAACAGGATCCTGCTCCTGTGCCCCCCGCCCCCACGCACGCAGGGCAGTCGACTTCTGCTCCCGGGCCCCCACACAGGAGGGCTGTAACTATCACCCGGTAAGGTTTCCAGTTCACATCCCTACTTAAAACTACAATTCCCACCTGGGGATATGAAGAAACAGATTGACAGAGCCAGACGGGAACCCAGAAGTTACCTACTACAGGATAGGCCCAACAAAGAAAGCAACAGCCCCCAGCACATCAACCAGCACTTCATCAAGGATCGACAACAGCGATGGGCAACCTGCGGCCAATCGGGGTTTTACGTGTGGACCACATTTTGTTTACAGCTGCCCGTGCACAGGGTTGCCAGATTCTCCTGGTTTCCATCCAAGTAGCTTTTTTCCTACTGATATTAGTGAAGTGACATGCACACAAAGCAGGGGTGGGAAACCTTTTTTGAGTCAGAGGCCACAGGGAGCATGTACAAGTGAGAAGCAAAAAAACCCAAAGCAGGGCAGGCGATTGGGACATGCAGTTGCATAGCTCCCAGGGAGGCACAGGGGGCTCCGTGTGGCTCTGAAGGCAGCAGGAAAGTACTCTCTCCAGGCACCACCCCTCTCCCCCACACCCACTGGCTGCAATTCTCAGTGCCTTCGGCCCCCCACCCCATAGTGGGGCTGGAGCTTGAGGGAAGTGAGCATTTCCCTGCAGCGCACAGAGCTGCTTCCTCCCTCCTGCCAGGCAGAGCCTGTGGACCAGACCTGACCTGCAGTTTGCCTTGATCCAGCCTTTGAGGCTCGGGGCTCCCCCCTCCACAACAGGGAGCTGGAGCTGGCACTCCAGCCATGGTGCCCCTACATAGCTGGAGTGCCAGCTGGAGAGCGGGCTGAGGGCAGAGGTGCAGGGTCTGGGTGGGAGGAAGGTGGGGGAGCCCTGAGCCTCGCAGGATGGACCAAGGCAAGCTGCGGGCGGAAGCCAGCGTGGGGGTTCCCCATCCCTGACATAAAGCAAGGGCATGTGCAGTGAAGTGCGTGCTGATTGCACACAATGTGGACTGTAAGGGAGGAGTGCTCCCACTGCATCCAATCAAGATGCAGCTATGGCTATGTTGGCACAACCCGCAAACTCTAGGCATGCAAGCACAGTTAGCAAAACTACTCTAGCCCAGGAGACCATCTTGGTCAACAATCTTGTGTCCCACACACTAGCCTAAGTAGCCCATCGCTGATCTACAAGCTATCCTAGATGACAATCTCTCACTCTCATAGACATTGGGAGGCAGGCCAGTCCTAACTTACAGACAGACCTAAGGATGTTCAATTTCGATTAACTAACTAATCGAACAGCCAATGCAATTTGCACTGACTATTCAATTAGTTGATAGGGCATCTCCACCTCTGAAGTGTAGGAACAGCCCCAGGGTTGTTGCTACACTTTAAAGGCAAAAGCGCTCCAGGGAGCACAGGGCCAGCATGGCAGTTCCCCATTGGCTCTGTGCTCCCCATGGCGCTTCAAAGCGGCAGCGCCGCATGGAGCCCTAAATTAATTGGGGATTCCCCACAACTGATCCCAAGCTCCATGCAGCACTGCCGCTTTGAAATGCCACGGGGAGCCTGGGGACTCCCCAGATGGCCCCAGGCTGCACACAGTGTTTCAAAGCGTCAGTGCCACATGGTCTCTCCCTGGGCTCCACATGGTGCTGCCTCTTTGAAGCATCCTCTCTTCTGCCTCCCACCCCCCTTGCTGCCTCCTTCTGATAGAGACAGCAAGGTAGGGGAAACGACTAGTTGACTAGTGTGTTGACTATCCAATAAGCACTTGCTTAGCAGATAGCTGACTACTCATTCACATCCCTAGACAGACCCTAACCTGAAGCAAATACTCACCACACAATAGAAGCACTAACCCAGGAACCAATCCCTGCAACAAATCCCTTTGACAACTCTGTCCACAGATCTAACCAAGTGACACCATCAGAAGACCTAACCACATCAGCCATGCCATCAGGGGTCGGGATGTTAAATATCAGTGAAATGAATAGTTGAGTTACCTCATGAATTCTGATCGGTTATTCAACTATACTATAGTCCCTGGGGGCAGGGCCAGCAGCCAGTGCACTCTGACTCCACTCCCAAGGAACCCGCTGCCACTCCGCACTGCTACTTCTGTATCAGAGGCAGCAGGTAGGGAGAGCAAGGGCCCCACAAGCACCAGATCCTTGCCTGTCCCCCTCCCAGCCCCATGCTGCTACCTCTCAGAGGCAGCAGCATGGAGGATGAGGGGGGGCAGGTGGGAGCCAATACACATGGGGAGCTAACTTTCAAGCAGGCTCCCTGTGCATGTTGGCTCTGAGGATTGCCTGTCCCCCCACTGCCTCCCACAGAGGAAGTAGGGGGAGAAGCAGGCAGGACCTAGTGCTGATGGAGGGGGGCAGCTTAAAAGCCGGTTCCCCCAGTGTCACGTTATTGGATTTTAAAGATCATTGCTGCACCCATGGGGGCGAGTCTTTGTCCCAAACGTCTGTACAAAGGGGGCCATGTGAGGTGTCAAATAAAAGCGTGTGTTGTACTGATTCTGTATATGCTATTCATGTACTTGTATGATATCTGTATGTGGAGTTATAAATATGTACTCTGTGCTTATGCTGGAAGATTCTCTGAGACAGAGCAATGGGCAAAGAATGTTCAGCCAGGGACAATGGATCTCTAGGTGCCAATACACACCTGAGGAAATCTGGATACCTGCAAACCAGCCAGTATCTGATGACCTCTGACATGGGACACAGGGATAGGTCACTGGGCCATGTGACCTGCTCTGGCCAGGAAGATGCCAGCAGAGATATAAAAATGCCACGAGGCAGACTCCATCTGGCCTGCAGTTCTGCTCAGCGTGATCTTGTGGGTAAGATCCAGAATGTAAATTGACCGGGGATTTGTGGCTGGTTCTTTGGGACCAGAAAGACCCGTTTGGGGTAGGTGAGATTGGGTTCTATAATCCCTCACTTGTGTGTTAGGCCTGGGGCTGATTGCGGCACAGACAGAGCTGAGGTATCGGAGGGGTTTTCTTCGGTGTGACTGGTATGTGACCAGTTTGGGAAGGTCTCCAGTCAGGGGCTGTAAGGAGCCCTGAGTTTGAGCAATTCGCCCTGAGCAGATGCCCTCAGCTGTGCCCAGACCCGGCCTGGCCCGTCACACCCATCACCAGCTCTTGCGGTGCACGGGCATGTAAATTTAAATGAAGCGGCGATTTTTTAAATCGCCGCTTCATTTTCCTATGTCTGGTAGCCTAATCTACATGCCTCTGGCGACAGAGGCATGTAGTCTAGATGTACCCTGAGTCTGCACAAAAGAACAACTGGACACAAATCAGACATAAAAAATGGTATCATGCAGTAACAGTGTTGAAAGTTGCCAATCCTCAGCAAAAAACCTTCCAAACCAGACTGCAGCGTGAAACCGCAGAGCTGGAATTCATATGCAAACTGGTTCTGAATCGAGAGTGGGAACCCTTGCGCTCTTCTCACCTTCTCCTCAAGAGCTGGGAGTGGGTCACATCCACCCTGATTAAATTGGCCTTCTCAGCACTGGTCCTCCG